ATTTATATCCATGCCACATAATTCTTATATATTTACATAAAAAACACTTATAATTTTATATTTATTTACATAAAATACAAATCCTTAAATCACATTAAAAAATATTACTATTTTTCAATTTTATAAACTAAAATAAGATTTTTCATGTGCATATGTTGATGTGATTTAGATGTAGTGTTTAAGTAAATATAATTATTTATAGATTAGACATATAAATATATAAGAATTCTATGATATATAAATGCTTCAAAAAATATATTAAAATATAAATTAAAATGCATGAATGTGAATCTTTTATTAAATGAAAGATTAAAATTACTTATTGGTTAAACAAAGATAAAAAATTATGTGTGAATATCTCCTTATAAAAAATAATAAAATTTACAAAAAAATAATTTTCATGTATATTACAAAATTCTCATATATTTATATATTTAATACTTAAAATTTTATATTTATTTATTTAGCACTAAATTCGCGTTCCCGTAGCCTTCTGCACGACTTCGGGAACCTATTTTTTTCGGGCGGCAGTCGAAACCACCCGAAAAAAATGGTTCCTTTTTCTTCCGGTTAGCCACCGATCTCTCTGCGATCGCCGGAGCCGACGATGCGACGACGCCGGACGCCGACGGCGATGGATGGAAGTATCCTTGATTCCCTTGGGCAAGAGATCGTTGGCGTGATGTCGCCGGTCTCCATCTGCATGCTCCTCGTCGTACTCCTCGTCTCTTGCCTCTCTCCGTTACCATCTTCAATCGATTCCCCTTCCTCTACTCCGGTCACCGCCGCAACTCTAGTCTATCTCGAATCCCCCTCCGATCCCCCAGCTAAAAAACTCGCCGGTGCCCTCCTCAACGCCGCAGTCTTCGTGGTCCTTGTCGCCGCTGTCACTTTTCTCCTTGTAATCCTCTACTACTACAACTTTACCGGTTTCCTCAAAGCCTATATGCGATTCTCCGCCTTCTTCGTGCTAGCCTCCATGGGCGGTTCGATCCTCTTCTCTCTATTCCGCCGTTTCTCCCTCTCCCTCGACGCTCCGTCGGCAATCCTTCTATTACTCAATTTTTCTGTCATCGGCGTCCTCTCTATCTTCTCACCCGCCGTCCCCATCGTTGTGCGCCAATCTTATATGGTGGCCCTCGCCATCATTGTCGCCGCTTGGTTCACTAAGCTCCCGGAGTGGACCACCTGGACCCTTCTCCTTGCTCTCGCCGCCTACGATCTTGCTGCTGTGCTCTGCCCCCGCGGCCCGTTGCGCATCCTCGTTGATCTGGCGTCCTCTCGCGACGAGGAGCTCCCTGCCCTCGTTTACGAAGCCCGCCCGACGGCTTCCAATCACTCGGTGTCCTCCTCCCCCTTCCCAGCCGCATCGGTAGAGCTACAGCCCCAATATCCGGTTAATTTAAATCCCAATGCTAACCCTAACTCAGAACCTAGCCCAAATTCAAGTTCAAACGACAGTTCGCCAGGCCCCAACCAAGCGGATGACTCTGTCGTGGAAATTGAGAGTCTTGCAGAGGAGACGTTGCCCTTGGTACCTGCTGCAACAAGTATAACTCAGCTGGGAAGCACCCATGGTGATCCCATCTCTTCAGTTGAGCAAGATGATATTTTTGAAACTAGCAGGGGAATCAGGCTTGGTCTTGGGGATTTTGTCTTCTACAGCGTGCTCGTTGGCAGGGCTGCCATGTTTGACTTGATGACCGTTTATGCTTGCTACCTTGCGATTATATCAGGGCTTGGATGCACCTTGATATTGCTGTCGATTTGCCGGCATGCATTACCGGCGCTTCCAATTTCCATTACTTTGGGAGTTGTCTTCTATTTTTTGACCCGGCTGGTGATGGAGCCTTTTGTTGTTGGGGCGTCTACGAGCTTGATAATGTTCTGACTAACTGGTTAGTGTTCATCTTGGAATTCCAATAGGATATATGAAGGTGATGCTTTAGATTCTGAAACTTACCAAACCCGTCTGTCGTTTTGACACTCTTTGCTGCTTTCTCTTTCTTTTCTTTAATTGTATCTTTTGTGGAGATATAATTGAACTGCTTATAGAATTGATAGAAAGATGACAAGTATTTTGAACTTGTGATTGATGCAGGATGGTTAAGCATGCCGTTTTTTTGAAATAAGACTAGAATGATAGACTGTATGTAGATCACACAAGGGAATCATATAATATATCTAGATCACACAAGGGAACCTATATGATTTGTAGATCATAGATTACTTAATATGACAATTTTTTTTGCTAAACTTTTTAATGAATAATGTAAAAATACAATTGACTGTAGTGACTTTAACACCCTAAATGAAATTAAAGATTTTTGTTTTTATCGGCGTATTAGTAAAACCGAAGTTAGAGAGGCTTTAAAGAAGAAAATGAAGTGTGGAAAAGCTTTTGGACCTGATAATATTCCAGTACAGATGTGGAAATGCTTTGGAGATGGAAGGAATTTTTTGGCTTATTAAACTTTTTAATACTGTTTTGAATACTAAAAAGATGTCAGATGAGTGAAGAATGAGTATGTTAATTCATATTTTTAAGAATAAAAGTGATGCACAGGAGTGTACGAATTATAGAGGAAATATGTTAATGTGTTATACTTTAAAACTATGGGAGCGAGTTATGGAGCGTAGGTTGCGGCATAATACTAATGTTTCTCAAAATCAATTGGATTCATGCCAAGTTGGTCTATTATGGAAGCCAAACATTTATTGAGAGGTTTGATGAAGAAATATAGAGAGAATAAGGAGGATCTATATATGATATTTATTGATTTAGAGAAAGCATATGATAAAGTTCCAAAAGAAGTGCTATGGAGAGTTCTTGAAAAGAAAGGAGTTAATAATGCTTATATTCAAATCATTAAAGATATGTATGCAGGACCTATTATTTGTGTTCAAACACAGGGTGGTTGGACCAATACAATTTTTTATTTCAGTTGGATTACATCAAGGATCAGCCTTAAGCCCATATCTTTTTGCTTTAGTCATGGATGTTCTCACTAGACATTTCCAAGAGGATGTACCTTGGCGCATGCTTTTTGCTGATGATATTCTTCTTGTTAATAAGTCTAGAGAGGGAGTTGATGGTAAACTTGAATTATGGAGGTCAACCTTAGAGTCTAAAGGTTTTCGCTTGAGTATATCTAAAACTGAATCTATGGAGTGTAATTTTAGTAGCATGGACCTAGTGAGGGGATTGTGACTTTGGGCGATCAAGTCATTAATAAGAGTATATGTTTTAGATATCTTGGATCTATTGTTCAGAGTGATGGTGAAATAGATGGGGATATTATCAGCAGAATTCAAGTTGGATGGTTGAAGTGGACGAATGCATCGGGCTTGTTGTGCGATAGAAAAGTCTCCCTCAAACTTAATGGAAAATTCTATAAGATGGTGATGAAACCCGCAATGCTTTATGGTGTTGAATGTTGACCATTAAAAGAGAAGCATAATACAATGTTAAGTGTTGTAGAGATGAGGATGCTTAGGTGGATGAGTGGCTTTACCCTTAGATATAGAATATGAAATGAGCATATACGTGAAATGGTTGGAGTAGCTCTTGTGGAAGATAAGATTAGAGAGAGTCGCCTTAGATGGTTTGGTCACATTAAATGGAGGCCTTCCGATGACCTGGCTAGGAAAGTCGAGGTATTAGATTTAACTTATGTTAAGAAAGGTAGATGTAGACCTAAAAAGAGTTGGTTAGAAAATATTAGAAATGATTTTTATTTATCATATTTAAACGAGAATTTGACTTTTAATAGAACACAATGGAGAAAAAAGATTCTTGTAGCCGATCCCACATAGTGGAACAAAGGCTTGATGTTGTTGTTGTTGTTGTTGCAAACTTTGAGTACAACAATTGGAACCAAAACATTGATGTAATGGTCAAGTAAAGCTGAAAAATTGGTGAGAAATTTAACCCTATAAAATGAATGAGCAATTCTAATTTAATCACTACATATAGGTTTCTAGTTGTCTTATCTGAATAAAATTGGTAACTATTGCGGGCTAATGACAAAATATGTAGAAAAATTTATGTCACATAAGAAATTCACCCAAGTAAGAATTTTAGGCTTTGCCTAAGTATAAGAATATGACTTTTAAGTGTTTTCATTTGTACCACACTCGAATGAATTATATGTCCAACTTGCACTCACAAGATTTAAATTGAAAGAAGGAATTTTGTTCAATCAAAAGTAATGTAATTACATACCTCATATTATTTTTTTTAAGCTCCTCATCATAGATTAGTAGACATGATTGCACAAGATCAACCCACTTTAATTCTAGATATCATCATGTTTAAATTTTAATCCTATCCAAAACTCAAAGTAATTGTAATTAAATCAGTTGCATAAGCTATTTTAGGTACAAATATAAGCCAGCTTTCATGTAGGCAGCTGCTCTGCCATTCTTAATATCAATTGAGGCATTTGTTTCATATTATTGTAACTTTTGAGGTATTCTATAGCTACTACGAGTTTGATTTGTGTTTGTGTTTTATTTTTGTAACCTTGCAGCCAAATAGGTTTTAAGTTTTTTTTTTGCCCACCACATTTGAAGGACAACATCCAATGTTCAGTCTTTAAAGGAAGCCAAAAAGTCTTAGGTTAAAACCTTAAAAAATCCTCACAAACTCACACTTGTAGATAATTGAGAGCAAATCTCAATGGCTCTAAGGCATTGAGCCAGTAGACTTTGGCTATACCTCCAACTATCTCGCTTGGTTGCTCTGACACACCATTATGCCCGCATTGAAGTCCCCCTCGAGAGGTGAACTCTATGTTTCTCATTTTCTATCATTTTCTCTCTTATTACAAGTAGCTTCTACAGTGAAACAAGCCTAAGATTGTCAATATGCCTTGCATGTTTTTTTTTTACTTTCGATTGGTATAAGATTATGTTTAAGTTCTTATATGTTTCTTATATACATAATTTTCTTTATTTATTTATTTTACTTTATTTTTTTAATTCAAGGCTTATGCCTTGATCTATCTCAAAACTTATTTCGCAACTCGGTTAAGGGAACCTCCTTGATTCCTATGTTTGTTTTTAAGATATTTATCTTCAAGTGATTTTATTAGTGTTATGTCATAAATTGGCACAACTATTTGTGCAATGGATTAAAGTTTGAAAGAAAATTGAGAGGTGTCTTAAATATGATAGGGCTCACATAAACAAACCTTTTTTTTTTTTTTCAAAATATAGCACATGCTCGCATTTATGTTATCATCATCTTTAGCCTTTTTTTTTTCATCATCATTATTAGCCTTGTTTCAATTGTTCAGGTGCTTCTTTATAAATTCTCCAGCATTTTCTTATTTGACTGTTACATGAGATATGGAACATATTAGGAAATAAGATAGTGAAAATAGATTATGAGTGCTATGACATAAACTTTTTCAGTCATTAATGTATGTTATCTTGAAAAATATATGTTCGTTTCCTTGTTGAATAAGATGTTTTGTTTCAGTAGTAGTTTGATATGAAGTTGAACTCTTTTGGAATTTCATGATCTAACCATCTATGAAGCTTAAGCATGATAGGGAACATAGAGACACGGGTATTAGATACATCAATTTTTCTAAATTATAGCTTGTAAATGTATTTTTGTTACCATCATCATCATCATTAGCCTTATCCCAACTATTTGGATGCGTTGCTTTATGAATTCTCTTTTTTCATTCATTTTTTTTACAGAATTACATTAGATGTTTTGCAAGTTGTTGACTTGTCAAGACAAGGCATTGAATGCTCACAGCACAAAGGAGTTGTAAATGGTCAAGTATCCATAAGAGACATAAATTTTGTAAACTCTGAAAATATTTAATTACCATTGGGTTACATGATCTAAACAGCCTAGGTTAGAAAATATTAGAAATGATCTTTCTTTATTAGATTTAAATGAGAATTTGAGTTTTAACAGGACACAATGGTGAAAAAGAATTCATGTAGCCGACCCCACGTAGTGGGACAAAGGCTTGATGTTGTTGTTGTTGTTGGGTTACATGATCTAAATGTTATTTATATTTATGAGTTTTATTTTAATGAAACTGCTCAAAAAGATTGTCCTAAATGATGAATGTCACATTGACCCTAAACTCTATAACAATAAGCTTAAAACAACTAGCATTAAAATTGATTACAACTCACCCAATGAAAATATGATTGACAATTACTCCAAATATCTTATGCTCCTGTGCTTATGTGGTGTTGTCTTGCACATAGATTTTGTAGTTTTTTTTAGTACATCTTCTATTCTATTATGCACGCCCAAACATCTTAAGTTCATAATCAGCTGAGAAAAGCAACTAACAATTCCATATGTGTGTGATAGGAAATACTTGTGTTCGCAAGTAACCCTAAGGTGATACTTGAGTTCGCAAGCAATCCTAACCCAAATCGATATGCAAACAGCAGTGAAATGGCTGTTTGTAGCAGGAAAAACAGCAAAAACCTGCTGTCTACAGCAGGTAATCAGCATAAACCAGGGAAAATTGTGAGAAAAATCAATGCAGGACTTGTATTCCACTAGAAGATGCAACAAAATAGAAAAGATACAATTGATCCTCAATTCGAGAGGAGGATCGATCTCTCCCAAATCTCTAGACGCCGCTAGAGCCCAAAGAAAACATAAATCTAAGAGATCTCAAATTTCAGCCCAAATTCAAGATGCTCAAACCCTAGGAAAATCTACTATTTAATGCATACAATTCAAAAGGAATTCCCTAAACAATCCCTACAATCAATTTCCCTCCTAAAATCCATTCAAAAACCTTCCTATTCGGGCGTGCGGCTGAATCGGCGGCGTGCGGCTTCCGCCCAGGCGAAACCAGTCGCCTGTTTTGCGACTCGACCGGTCCCGTGCGGACCGGCTGGACCGGTCCACTGGACCGGTCTAACAGTGTGATAGCTCAAGTATTTTTTAAGGGCTAGATTGAATGTTGTTTAATTAGAAATTATACGAGTCTAAATAAGAGTTTATTTATATTTGGAGTTCAGAACTTCCTTTGGGTGTGACTCTTGATAACTAGTTTTATCTTGACTAGGAAAATGCTCTCCATTAAGTCTCTCAGTTCGATTTTAGAAGTTTTTTTTTTTTTTTTTTTTTGTTATGGAGCGGTTAAGGAGAATATTTTGGTGAGGATTGTCAAAGTTCCATAGCTACATCATTAATGCTTTATCGGGTTATTGGTTATTAGGATCCTTGATTATGATGTGAAGCCTTCCTCATCCAGGAGCTTCCCAAAGGGCTCAATTTTGATATCTTTTTCGGTATCGATCACTTGATCACTTGCTTGGTCTTTCTACATTTCTTGTTGGTTACTCCACATCTTATATTTTGCATGATAGCGTGTGATGGCAAATCAAACTACACACTATCAACCTGATTCTTCGTTGACTTCAGAATTCGATTATATTTGTCACATTTTCTTCTTTATTATATTTAAAGGTACATTTGATGAAATCAATGTCAATTAGTCAAAAGTTTTACTTGAATTCATGTGTTTGGAGTTTTCATGCACACAATCATCCCTCACTTAAAATTTCTTGATCAGGGCATCGTCTTGCCAAACGGGCTGCATCGTTGCGTATGACTCATCTAAACATATCGGTTGTGCCCATTAGTCACGTTAGACAGTGTGTCGAGGAGAGAGAATGTTAAAGGGCATTTTCTTAATAAATCTAATAATTAAAATAAATACTATAAAAGTCTAAAAAAGAATTATTATTAAAAAATCAAAGCACAAAATCATAATAAATAAATTCATGAATAAAAATATAAAATAGAAAATAGAAAATTCGAAATATAATTATCTTCATAAGAATAGATTTTAGAAGTTAATGATAAAAAATAGCAAATTAACTAATTCGACTTGACTTGAGTCGGATTCAGTTTCGACATTTTAGATTGATCCAGTTTAACTCTTCTATAGGCAATCTAATTTAATTACACTTAGCTAAATAATTCGACTCGAACAAATCAATTTAAACTAAATCAATCAACATAAACTTAACGCATATTAATTCAAATCTGATTGTGTCACATTGTATTCAAATTAGATTCAATTTGGCCAATTAGTTTAGTGGTTTTATTTCAAATTTCAACTCTTCATTCCTCAAATCAAGCAAATTCATAACAGTCTTTGGATTGAAATTCTGATTGAAGGCGAGATGGTCATTCTTTTCTCTAAAACCATTAGGTTTTACAAGGCTATAGCGGCTGTTTTGGGTATCTGCTAGGGCGTGAAATTCAGTTCGTTGGAACCAGGGAAAGAAGTGCTTGTGTTCCTGTTGATTGGAGGCGAAAATAAGAGGGAGCTGCTTGCGATTTTTGTTGAAAACGAGAAAGGAATTATCTCTGAGCTTTTTCTCCTTGCATCAAATAGCTTCCTCTTGCTTAAGCGTCTGTACTCTTTTTTCTTCTTACTTTTGAACAAAAGAGACAGAGAAAGATGGAAAGTTCTCTTGGAATGTTAATTAATGTCATTAACTTGAATTTGAGGAATATTGAGAAATATATGATGATCTTGCTTGAATAATAAGTTTTAAGAAAATTTGGGTGGATTTTTTCTCTTTATTTTTTTCAAAAAAAAAAGAGAAAATTATGGATTATTTTCATGAGATTTTCGAATGCTAAATGAAAGTCAAGCGTGGGGTATATTCTAACACTTGTAAATGATTTTATTACATTGATTTTTCGAATGTAGGGTTATATCATTTAATAGATTGAAATCACTATTTCGTTTTGACCTATATTTTTATGGAAATAAGGGATTGAGGTCCTGTTTCTTTATCTCTTTCATTTTTGTTATATGGTCGTTATTCTTTAGAAGTTGAGATGATAATTTGGAATCCCTAATGCCTACTTTCATGTTCAATCTGGTTGAGTAAATGAAATATGAGATTTCATATTTTTGTGAGAAAAAATGATTAAAATGGGGTTCTCTCTCTTTTTAAAACAAATAAAATATTTAAGAGATGAGGAAATTGGTTCTCTGCATTTTCTAGAGATAGATTAATTGTTCTCTCTAAAATATTTTTAAGTTTTTGTAGAGAATATATTTGAATACATAATATTGTTTTTATCATAGAGTTGAGGTGTGTAAATACCTCTGGGCTTACGCCTATTTGGAATGAGCTGCCAGCTAATAACCTAATACACACGCAATCGTCCTAGATGTAATGCATGATAAGGTTAGCTCTGTCCTAAGAGATCGAAGGAATATATTAGAATCTAAATCAATGACTTGAGATGAGTAATTTGACTTTACATTTAAGTGATGCTAATGAGACGCCTCGCTAAAGATTAACTTTTTCAAAGTATTCTCTAAGCAAGTACAAAAGATAGATCTAAGAATATTAAAAACAAACTTGCTTACATAAATAAACTTAAACACACGATTTACATTCACACTTTATAAACATACGGTTTAAAATCAAATAGATAAATCATCTTCTATATTCAAACTAACTGAGATTAACAGTTAGGGTTTTGTTGATTCGTACTAGAGTAAATAGAAGAGAGAAGAAGCGAGGATGATGCCGGAGAATCATCGTCGTCGAGTGAGCTCATCATTGAGTTCGCGAATCGGCAACGAACAGCTAGGTGGAGCGGGAGACGAATGGGAGGAGACTAACGGGACTGCACACAAGAAAAATAAATTAGGAGTTCTTCCATTTGCGACTCGATTTCGTCCGTGAACGACGAAATACAAGAAGAGCCGAACTGAGGAGGGACACGTGACCTAGGAGGGAAATGAAGGAATTGCGTAGCTTAGGGTTATACGGTCCGAAATAGCTGTATCGTGATTTTGATCATTCATTTTGCGATCTACGGCTACTCTCACGCGCGTTTTGAATAGGTCTTGTTCTTTCAAAACTGTCGGTTTGCTGATTACCGGTGGTTTGGCCGGTTGTTTAGCGGTCCAATGCTAGACCGATTTATAGGGTCAACCGGATCGGTTAGGTGGTTGTTTCCCGGTTTAACGGGTTGAACCAGCTAGTCTAATCCGGTTTTAATAACCATGATCATAAGACTTTCAAAGATTGATAATGGTCTAACTTGTACATTGTTTGTCGTCACGAATGAACAACTTAATGAGGAATAATATTTTAAAAATCGGCATGATAGCTTAGAATGGATAACATTTATTCATTTGCTTGAGGGTGTGTGTGTAAAGATAGCTTACCATCAAATTTGCCTCCATTAATTTTGCCTCCATGAATTCTGCCTATATCAATGTTCATGGAGCCCAACAATCTATCAAATTCCTTCTTCACTTTATACTACCTCGGTGTTCCTTGAGATTATTAGTGACTTCTCATCAACTCATAAACTATTTTAATTATTTATAATTATTATTCTATCGCCTCTTGAATCCATAGGCTATTATAACTATTCTATAATTATTATAACCTAGACACAAATGTTGGAATGAAGTATTCAACCAATTCCCGGTAATTTATGTCAAATAACATCTAATAAGTTTAAGAATTATATATATATATATACTCCCATTAGAAAATCATAAATATGTATTAAGATAGTTTCATCCACAAAAAAGATTGTCTCCAAGTGCTAGATCTTAGGCGCATGACAAAGGGTTAAAAAAATTGGTAGGAATTGGCGGTAGGGCTGGCAGCGGATAGGAAAGATATAGGGGCTATTTGGTTGTAGGAAAAGTGAATGCAAAGCATTTGTAATAACAACAGTTTAAACCATTTATAATTAGTAGTGGTTATAACCAGTGTCGTTGATATTTATATCGGTTATAATTGCTGGAAGCTCAGATACAGCTGGTAACCTTGCATTGCAGCGACATTCTGGTTGTGTGAGTGACTTCTATCAATATTTTGTTAAATTCCTAAGCTTGTTCCATTTTGTAAGTCTTTAATTGCATCCACAGTAGACTCTTTTGCGGTCAGTTGTCCATCTTGTAGCTTTGGAAGTATAACAGATCAGCTGCGATGAAAATTTCAATGTCATTAACAAGCGAAGATACTATATTTTGCTTGTGCTGACTATTAATGTTGTTTCTATCAACGGTGTTCATTTTTTTATGAAAACAATGTTATTTTGATTTCTGATAAGGAGCACGCCAGGTTTGACTAGATATAAAAGTGAGCTTGGTGATGCATTTTCATGGCTAAAAAACTACTACTGGTTCTTGCCATTGCCCACTTCTTCTTAATTTCTTTTTCTCTCTGCTCCTTTCCTGCACTTTATGGAGCATCATCATAAGAGTAGTTTACCTAAACATCATTAAGATATACATAGGAACAATTCTTGGCTTCTTCTTCCTCTCGCTCCTAACTTGTGGATCCTGGTCTTCAGCTTGGGAAGCGATACCCATTTGAGATTCATTCTCATCCTTGCTGGCAGGTGAACCTGTTTCTCCATTAATTGTTCTTTCCCACATTTTTTGTTGGATTGCCTTTGCTCTTTCTTTTCCTTGTATTCATAGAAGACTAATGATATTCGTTCACCTAAACATCGCTAAGATAACTGATAGGAAATACTTGAGTTCGCAAGTAACCCTAAGGGAAATACTT